TGTGTGTGTGTGTGTGTGTGTGTATTTGGATATAAGCTTGATAAAGATGTGACTAACAGTCCAGAGAGATGCTGTGACCACAGATAAAATGGGAGTGGTGGTCAGGATGAGTTGAAGACAGTTTTTTCCCTCTCCACTGGAGAGTAGGTAAGCCCCCAGGGTTTGTTGCTGGATAGTCTAAGTTTGAATTCTCTGCTAGCTCCAGTTCTTGCTAAGCTGTGTGATCTTTTTTTATTTTTTTATTTTTTTTCATTGTCAATGGACCTTTACTTTATTTATATGCGGGGCTGAGGATCAAACACAGTGCCTCACACACTGCTAGTCAAGCACTCTGTCACTAAGTCACAACCCCACCCTTAAGCAGTGTGATCTTGATTAAGTTACCTAAACTCTCTGATCCTTAGAAAGGCCATCTGTTAAATGACATAACATTTCACAAAGTTGTTGCGAGCATTGCATGAGATAATGTGTTTTAAAATCATTGGCACAGAACTGACACATTGTAAGTGTTCAATAAGCCTTATTATTATTTTGACGCTATTCAATTAAGCCTTATTATTTTTCAGAGTCTCAGTAGTTCCACCACCGAGCAAAAGAAATCCCTTCTTTCAGCTGAGTGGACCCAAGGTCGGGGCTGCATTCCTTTCTGCTGGGAGGCTCTCTGTATATTTCAGAAGAGAGGACAGCGAGCAGTTGTTGGTCTGGTTATGAGTCCCGATGCCTGGCAGAGCCACCTAGGTTTGAGATCCAAGGCTCCAACCCCTGTCAGAGTCTTAGGAGTGTCTCTTTTGCATTGCTTTTCTATCACTATTAACTCAAACCACAGACTCTACTCTGTGGAGCAACTGAGCATTCCCTATGAGAACGGCCCCTGTAGGAAAGAGTCGTCTTGGTCACACTGCTGGGCTCGCATTGCAGAGGGACCGCTCTGCCTAGCTTTCCCTGTACCTGCACACCAGCTGTAGTATGTGGGAATGCAAAGCCTGTGGTTACCTGGAGCCTGGGGGTACATGCCCTCCCACGGCTCTTGGCAGCCTCAGGCATGGTGGGTCTGGTGAGAGGAAGGGGAGTAGGAGGGATAGCTTTATTCCCTTTGGCAAGAATGGTGCCCAGAGGGGAATATCCTGGATTCTGTGAGCAGGGCCCAGGACCTGCTGTTCATAGCTTGATCATAATGGTGCATCCACAGCGCTGCCCCCAGAATGGGAGATGGAAGGGCAGGTGGGCTGGTCCTTGTTTGACTGTGCCATGCAGCTGGGATTGCAGAATGCTGTGCTGATGAGGGAAGTTTGAAGTTTGGCTTGAAATGAACTTGGCCTTCAGTCTTCTCCTTGGAGGCTCAAAGACATAATAACAGCAGCAATGATTAAT